GGGCCTGCATCATCTGCACAATTGCTGCTGTGCGTGGGTCCATCTCATTGAAGGCTGCCTCCTTTTTTTCACTGAGCCTCTACTTTAGCAAGAATGATGTTGGAAGAAAGGCCCAGTGACCCGCTCCCAAAGGGCACAGGGACAGCCGCTCCTGATAACATGCACAAAGTATGTAAGGCAAATGTTCACCATCCTTACTTCCAGATAACCTTTTGGGTGTACTCCTTCCAAGACAGATTTATTTGTACTTTTAGTAGGTCATGATATGTTCATTATTCTTTGTCAACATCACAATTCAAAGGCATCAGTTCTTTGTATGTTTTCTTTATTAATTGTCCTAGTTTTAAATGCTGTAAAGGCAGTTGAGAAAACCATGACTTGGGCCAGGAGCACCTTGGTCATCACAATGGCCTCCTCATTCTTTAGTACCTTATGCATGTCTTTTGCAGCAGATTTGGCCACTATAATTCGCCAGTTCATTTCTTGTCTGCTGTTTAAATGGATATTGATCATGGATCCTAGTGAAAGGAAATCTTTCTTAGTATGGAGGCCCTGTGTAATACAATCAGTTAAATGCTGATTACCAACTAACGAAAGAGCCACCTCCTTGGCCCCTGATATCAACAACAACCAGTGAGATGGTAGTCAGTTCAAACCCAACCAGAGGTGCCTTGGAAGAAAGGCCCACAGCTTTGAAATCCCTCCTGCTCCATACACATGGGGTCACCATGAGTCATGTCAACTGGGCAGCCATGGGCTTGTCTGTCAAAAGCAAAAATTTTATTTCTTTTCAATCTTCATTTCTTTTCCTATTTGTACATTGGCTGGGCCCTTCAGAACTGTGTTAAATAGAGACAGTAATAGAAATTTTCCTTTTCTTCTTGTTGAACTCAAAGGAAAGTGTGTGTGTGTGTGTGTGTGTGTGTGTGTGTGTGTGTGCTCTCACTCATGCACACATTCTAAAAAATTGCCTTTATTCCTGATGAAGGAAATGATACCAAGGACTGAGAGAGTCAAACACAAACTTCCCATATCAAAAGGAGAATTTTTTTTAATTACAGAGGTAATAGTGTGTCGCTGACATATTTTAGCAAGAGAGTTGAAAGAGCAATCACGTTTGAAGGTTGTCTTAGCTCTGGTGTCATTTAGTAAGTGAGTTGACATGCTGACACAAAGAAGGAGGCTCGTATCCACCAGCTCCTCCCTGAGAGAAAAATGGGCAATCGCCTCTTAGGCGATTTATAATCTCTGAAAATGCAAGGGTAGGCCAGCTATGAGTTAGATTCAACAGTAATGAGTTGACTTGAGCAATGGGGGTGTACAGTACATTGAAATGGCATAGACATTAGTGTAAGAACTATTTCAATTATTATGTGGCCATGAAAAATTACTCTTTTTGTGTGACATCAGGAGATTCCAACTCTGAGCTACCCTTGGTGACAGAGTAGAACTGCCGCATAAGGTTCTGGGCTATCATCTTACAGGAGCAAATCGGCAGCTCTCTTCTCCCAACTCAGAGGAACTTCTACTGCTAATTGTGAGCTTTGTTCTCGGTTATAGGCAGATACCATGAAAACTTTAGAATTTGTGTTTCAGAAAGGAAGGAAACAAGCAAATAACAACAACAACAAAATCAATCTGAAATGAAAATTATGCACATTATTAATTGGTTTATGGAGAAAGTTCTAGAATTTATAAGAATCTTGGATTTCTGAAAATAGCTTAGGTATGTAAGGGTGTGGATCATAATAAACTGTGGCTGACTCTGATAAGAATGGGAATTCCAGAACACTTGATCGTGCTGATGTGAAACCTATACTTGGACCAGAAGGCATTGTCAGAACAGAGCAGGGAAACACTGCATGGTTCAAAATTGGGAAAAGTGTACACTTTTGTCTCTAGACTGACATTGTTGCCTTTTATCACTCTGGAGAAGTCCTTGACTGCAGATATTCCAAGTGCAAATAATCTTTTGATTTCCTGACTGCTGATGATAGAAGTGATGATTGTAGAACCAAGGAAGCTGAAGTTGTTAACAACCTCAATCTCTTCTCCATCTATCACGATGCTGCTAATTGATTAGCCCATTGATGAGAATCTTTTTTTTTTATGATGAGCTTCAATCTATATTGAAGTCCTTGACCTTCTCCAGAAAAAGTGTCAGGTCCTCCTCAGTTTCACCAAACAAGGTTGTGTCATCTGCATAATGCTGGTTGTTTGATAAGTCTTCCTCCAATTCTGATGCCACGTTCCTTCTCATAAAGTACAGCCTCCCAAATGATATGTTCTGCATATGGATTTAAAAGGTATGGAGACACCATGCATCTCTGACACATTCCTTTCTTGATTCTGCATTCAGGCAGTGTTTCCTTGCTCTGTTCTGAGGACTGCTTCCTGGTCCAAGTATAGGTTTCACATGAACACAATCAGGTGTTCTGGGATTCCCATTTTCCTCCAGTTTAGCCACACTTTGTTGTGATCCACACAGTCAAATGCCTTTGTATAGTCAATGAAACATAGGTGGACTCTCTGCTTTCAGCCAAAATCCATCTGACATTGACAATGATGTTTCTAGTGCCACATCCTGTTCTAAATTCAGCTTGCACATCTGGCACATGTTTGTTGATATACTGTTCCAGTCATTTTTGGATAATCTTCAGCAAGATTTTGCTTGTGTGTAATATTAGTGATATTGTTCAATAATTTCCTCACTCTGCCTGATCATAAGGCTAATCTTTGAAAAAAGACAGCCTGCTGGTCAAGGTGGAAGTTCAGCAGAAGAAGACCCTCATTGAGATGCATTGAGACAGTGACTCCAACAATGAGCATGGCAGAGATGGTGGGGACAGTGCAGGATAGAGCAAGTTTCTGATCTCTTGTTCATAGGTTGGGGCATTATGAGTTGAAAATCAACCCTCTGACAGTGGGTGAATATGATATTAACAGTGTATAAGGGACTTCACTGAATAAAATGAATTCTGTTTCAAAATATGAATAACTGATAACCTTAACCTACTGTTAAATATACTCTTTAAGAGCAAACTCTTAAAGAATCTAGAATCTGCTTTCTTGAATCATTACTTGATGAATGTATATATTGCTTGCTTTACAAATCACATCTCTTAGTGTTCTGACTCTGTCTTTGAACTTGGAATGGCACATTGGATACCATTTAAGAGCAGACTTTTGTTACTCTAGCTGTTAGCATCTTTTTACTAGTACTTATTACTACAAGTAATAATATTACTATTACTTTTGATCAAGTGTATTCTTTAGTCTAAGAATCAATCTAGACACTGCTGGAGTTCAGAAGTAAGACCTAAGGCACATGGTTCGAATCCACCAGATATTCCACTGAAGAAGAATCAATCTCATCTTGTGCCAGTCGAATCTGATTCGACAGTACACACTCACACACACAGTGAAAGTAAGACCTATTTACACTCCCAGGAGCATAGAGGGGATCTGACAAATACTTCAATAAATCAAACAAAAAGCACAGTAATTTAAATGCTAAAGGAAAGGTTAAGACTTTTGAACCTTGGGGTTCAAAGAAGAAACAATAATTGGGCAGCTGAAGGCTGGCAGGGAGGTAGTAACCGGAGAGGATCTCAACAAGGATGCATCATTTGAGGTGAACCCTAAAGATTTAAAGCATGTAAACTGAGGATATTAGAAGAGTGTATTTCAGGTGGCAAGTAGAGCATATTTGCAAGGCATGTTAGGGAGGAACAGGAGGCAAATCCAAGTGATTCTATCTGGCTGGAACATATGGAGTATAAAGGATAGGTATGGCCCCATCATGAACTATAAAAACACCTTGAATGTTAGTGAGTTTATATTCATGCTTTTATACAGAAAGAGCCACTGAAGAGTTTATGACTGGGAGTCATAGAGGGACTATTTGCTACTTCCCCCTCTTTTTGTGTCTCCTGAACTTTGTCTCTGTCCAGCAATGTAGCATGTCAGAACTTAAACCGCTGAAATCAAACTTCCATTCTCCTGACCTGCATCTGCAATGCCTTTCTTGAAATCCTGTCCAAAGTGCAAGCAGAAACTGAGGCAGTAGGTTCTAGTAAAGGCTCTAGAATGGCATCTGAAGTTAGAATGTTAGAGAGAGGGTGTTCAGGGGAACCCGTGCTCAGACCAAGAGGCCGTTGGTGGATTTAATATTAATACATTGGAGAGTTATTTTAGGGTGTCAAAAAGGAAACTGGTAAGAAAAAAAGGCGGGTTGTAGATGTAAATTAAAAGTAGTTGGGAGAGTGGATTGTATGTAGTCCGGCTTTCAGGGCAACCCAGCATAAAGTGACACAGAAGCACAAATAAATGCAAAATCAAAGCAATAGAATGGTTAACTTGAGGCAATAAACTGGGCCTTTAGAAGCACTATCCCCCCTAGTGTAATGTTGAAAGGCCTTAACCCAGACTGTTGAGATGGGCCAGAAGAAGCTCTTTGTGTTTGATATTATAGTGAATTGTGATGTGGACTTTGAGTTCATCAGAGTACCTGAGTTACAGGACAGAAGCATCTTTGGCATTGGGAATGCTTGAAAGTCTGAGCGTCAGGCTGGGAAATATATATAAAGGAAGCAGATCAAAATTCTGCTTTACTGGAGGTTAGCATGACCTTGGTCTCCACCGGGATGTTAGGATATTGAAGATGGGTTACTCTTATCAGCAGCGGGCCTTAGAGAGCTCCTGCTTCTTTCCTCATAGCGATGGGCAGGTTGGAGGCAGTAAAGGGCGGCCTGGCAGCGGTGGTAACTCCTTCATTTTTCCCTGCCAGCAGGTGCGTTTCTGCCCGGGTGCCTGGGGCAAGCAGGAAGCAGCAGAGGGAGACGCCCGCCATGCAGGGGCCCCAGCTCCCCGCCTCGGCCTCCCGCCCGCCGCCCCCGCCGAGCCGCGGTCCGCAGTCGCTGTGAGGAGTAAGAGGAGGCGGCGGAGCTGGCGCCGCCCCCATTGGCGAGCTGCTCGACCTGGCTGCCTCGGTAGGACCCATGGCGGATTCCTCGCCAGCACTCTCCCTGCGGGAAAGCAGTCCCCGCGCCGCCAGGCCCTGGTCTCCTTCGCCGCCGCCGCGCTCACGCTCGGGCTCCGAGGCCGAGGAGGCCGAGCTGTCGCTGAGCCTGGCCCGCACCAAAACCCGCTCGTACGGCAGCACCGCGAGCGTGCGGGCGCCACTGGGCGCCGGCGTCATCGAGCGCCATGTGGAGCATCGGGTCTGCGCCGGCGACACGCTGCAGGGCATCGCGCTCAAGTATGGAGTCACGGTGAGCAGGGGTGGGGGCTGCGCGGGGAGCGAGCGGCGCGGTGGGCGAGGGGAGCAGAGGTGGGCTCAGCGCGCCGGGGCCCGCGGAGGATCGCAGGCTGCAGACTGTGGTCACATTCCTGGCCGAAGGAGCGAGTTCCATACTAGATGGTGGTAAAAGCCATGGTCGCTGAGGCTCCTTCTGCAGCCAGAGAGGGCGGGCCGTCGCGGGGAGGCCCAGGCTCCCTTCCCAGGTACGTGCGTCAAGTTCCTGGGTGCCCTGCTCAGACTCAGCCAGACCTGATCTAGCGTGAGCCAGGGCGAAGAGGACCACGACTTTGGTCCATTGACAGCTACCTTTACCAGGTCTTCAACCTGATAACACACGTGTTATTTATCCAAAGCCGAGCTGAAGTGTGGACTTGAGCAGAGAATTTTGTATTCTGTGTAAACGAGTCCTGCCATGAGTCAGGAAATAGTACAGTTGTACCCACTGGGTGGTTCTATCGATTAGGCTGCTTTATTTAGAAGGTAAATTGCACCCCTGGGCTCACTGGCAACTGTTAATGTGACACCTGTCGCTAAGCAGCAGCCAGGAACTATGGTCTAGGTGAGCTGAAGGGCTGTGTTTATTATAAATTTATAAGCGTGTGGGTCTTGGGCATATTCTATTACACCTCTGGGAAGAACATGGAAACCCAAGGGAACAAATTGTTTCAGTAAAATACTTATAATTAACTCTGAGCTATGTGGTGGCCTTTTAACATTTGACTTCTGTATCAGCTTTCTTTCCTGACACACCTTAGATAGCAGTAGGAAGCCGATCTTATCTGTATCTTTCTGGCTCTTCAGACCAAATGACAGAGGCCAAGCCAATCTATTTGTACATTTGAGTGGGTATGTGCTTACCTATCGGGTTCTATCATTTACATATTCTGAGAGGAGGGATCTTGCTGTGCAAACATAGAATGACAATATCATGCCATGGGTCTCCCCATGTGATGTTATCTGGAGCTTTCTCAATGTGAACATGGGTTTATCTGTAGTTCTTCATGCCCATTAATGAAGCCTGGTTTGGGTCAAAACCAGAGGAGAGCAGCATTGGCAAACATCAGTATCCATCTTGAGCAGAGTGCCTGCCACGTGCCAAACATTTCATTTGCCATGTTCTACTTTGAATTTAGTTAATATGATTTTCATAGTCAGCCAAGGGATAACTAGTCTCCTTTTCACAGGTGAGAAGAGGCATGAGAGGTGAAGGATATTTTACAGGTGTTATTATTCATCAGGAGTAGTGGGAATCAACACAGGGATAGGGAATTTGCTTTTTTTATGAGTGATGTTACCTCTGATGTCCATCTTTGTTGCTACCCTAGTTTGTCAGAGCTCTCAGCATCTTAGTTTCTGAAGAAAGATGTTTTTTCCTGTCTGGTTTCTGAGTCTCACCTACAAGGTCAACATGTGTATACTTAGGAGCCCATGACATCTGGAGGAGCTGTATCTCTCCCTGACTTACAGCCTTCTGTGACCGCACTTTAGTTTCTGATAGCTCTTAAACATTTGCTTGCTGAAGTTTCCACCTAAATTTTAAAAAATTAAAATACTAAGCTCAACTATGTCTTAAGAACCGTAATCTATAGTTTTCAATTACAGGGCTTCTCAGCCTATTAAAAAAGTAAAACTCATAGCCATGAAGTCTGAATCGACTTATGGCTGACCCTGCAGAAGGTTTTCCGAGGCTGTAAATTGTGCAAGAGGAGGGTGCCCATCTTTCTTTCTCTTTGGGATCCTAGTCCGTAGAGAGTTTCACTGCTAACCCAAAGGTGATGCCTCTCTGCTGGTTCAAAGCCACCAGCATGTTGCTCCGTCTTCCCTGTCTTATTTTTCCAACAGTATTTATCATGTATCCACATTTTCTTTTTTTTTCAGCTGCTACCTTTTTGGTGATCTATTAGTAAATACAATCCATCTCCTCAGAGAACTTATATTTTAGTCAGTGGAGACAGTAAGTATAGAAACATGTTATATTTTAAATATTGATGAGCAGAGTAAAGCAAGAAAAGGAGAGGGAGGGGAAGAGAGGGAGGGAGAGAGAGAGAGATACGGCAGAAGTATCTATGGTTCAAAATCATGTAACCAGAGACGGCCTTGGGGAGCCCTGATAGCCTAGTGGTTAAGGAGTTGCACTGCTAACTCAAAGGTAGGCAGTTCAAACCCACCATCTTCTCTTTGAGAGAAAGCTTATTCCTCTTGTATAATTTTTTCCCCCTCTTGGGTTGCTTTTCTGTTTTTACAGAAGGCTTCACTCAGAAATAAGTGAAGAGAGCCAGGCAGATAACTGGGTAAAGAACTACTGCCATTGAGTTGAAACTGACACTTTAGGAGAATAAAACTGCCATATAGGGGTTTGGAACTGTAAATCTTTATAGGAGCAGACTGCCTCTCTCTCCCCCCCAAGGTGTGGGCTGGTGAATTTGAACTCTCAACCTTCTATTAAACCAGTGTTTAGCATACTGCTTCATCATTCCAAATAACAGGAAGAATGAGTGGTGCAAAGGCAAAGGCCCTCAGAGAGAGCATACTTGACATGCTCCAGGAGCTGTATGGCCACAGCTTAGTGAACAAAGGGATGCAGTTGGTTTAAGTCGTGTAGAGTCATGAAGGCCATTGTGAAGACTGGCTTTCTCCCCCCTTTATTTGAGTGATTTGGGAAGTGTTGGAGGGATGGGAACAAAACTGTGACATGATTTGACTTAGACATTGAGTGGATCTCTCGGGCTCCTGCTTTGAAAATACACTGTGGGTATGTGGGGTGCCAGCAAGTGTGCCAAGGCAGGGACACGAGATAAGATGTAAGCTTTCCTAGTTATGCAGATAAACAAGATGATATCTTGCACCAAAGCAGTAGAGAAGAAAGCAGGGAAATGGGCAGGATTCGGGATGAGTTACTGCTGTGCTGTAACTCTTCTGCTTATTTGTTCAATGTTAAGTTTTATCATCTCTATTCTAGAGGTGGGCCT